GTTTTTCTACTTAAATTTTGCTCTAAGTGACCATTACTTTTGGTGATCAATATACAGGGTGTTCCGATTCAATCTCTCCACCTAAATATTTCGAAAACAACGCATCCTAGGAAAAAGTTGCCGATGGCGATGACCTTCATCGGGAATGGATTATCAAATTATATATCCAAACGTGTGAAACTTTTTCTAGAGCAAATTGTTTTCAATCGTGAAGATCATGTGAAAAGCCAGGGCGTAAAATTTTCTCCTCTTTCCAGTTCCGATATGAAAAAGGGACTTCCATTTGAAAGTACTCACTTGACCTCAAAATGACCTTGAAGATCGTCGTAAGGCTATGGTCAAGGTCACCAGCATTTTTCCCCTCGAAACCCTACAACCTTTGTATGATAATTTTGTATGCATAGCAAGAATGGACATACGAAGTAACTTACCTAAAAGGGTTTTTAGAGCCTCGAGCGAACGATGGTCAACGGCTCGATGTAGAGCTGTAGAGCCGTCTTTCGTGCGGTAATCTAGCAGAGCACCTCCATTCACTAAGGCGATCAACACCTTGGCGGGTTTCTTGATACCCGTTGCTATCGTTAAAGGCGTTTCTGAAACAAATTACTACATCAGATTGAGGACAGCTGAAGACCCATTGATTTGTCAATCTATATTGAAAATGATTTTATCAAAATTATTCGGTGGTTTAACAGTAGAAAATTAAGCATTAACTATTCTAAAACACATTTGTTACCATTTGGATCTTATGCTAGACATCTGCCAAATTACACAAATTTTTCCTCCAACATTAATGATCAAAAAATGCAAATTAATAGAGTGCCCAACATAAAATACCTTGAAGTGGTCTTGGATCCTCACTTACGATGGGACATCCATGTCAATTATATTTTAAAGAAAGTTAGATTTGTATCCTACAAAATTAAATACCTTGGGAATATATTGACAGAAAAATATCTTCGAACATTATACCATGCACTGATTAAGCCTCATCTCACATATGGTATATTAGCGTGGGGAGCTGCAAGTTCCTCACATATCTATAATATAGATGTTTTTCAAAAAAGTATTCTAGAAATGATATTTAAAAAACCGAAACTTTATCCCACTGACAAATTATACGCAGATGTTCGGATGTATGATATAAGACAGCTTTAATTCTTACACAGTATCACTCACTACCATTAATTTGTAAACACCGACCAAAAAATTAAACATTATCATTATACAAGGTACAAAATTCGTGGCACAGTAGTTCCTCAGCCGCATAAATCTATAATGCAGCGGTCATATCTCTATTTAGCGCCAAAATTTTATGAAATTATACCTAAAGACTTAAAAGATTTACGTTTCGGAAATTGTTTCAAAAAAGTGGCTACATTCTATATCTAGCACTGAAATTCATAAACTCATAAATACGAAAATCAAGTAAATACATAGTCTAATGTAGCTAATTTTGTCCATTTTTGTCATTTGCATTCTACAGTTGCAACTTAAAATTATTGGTCCATGTACAGGCGATGCCTTCTATTGGGCCTGTTTTGATTTTATATTTATTTACACATATTGTTTGATATCTTGTACATTGAGTGAATAAATATTATTATTATTATTATATGTCATGTTATATCATACGAATGCAAAAATGTCACTCCTTTATTGCCGGTAGACACGAGCGTTAAATTTTCGCGTTTAGCATTACAATGATCTAGATACAACAGTTCACATTATCGACGCCCGTTCCACGGAACGGGAGTTTTGCAGCAGGATGATTTGGGTGACGTCCGTCTCATGTAAACACTCTTCTCGACTTCTCGACGGATCCCGTGTGAACAGGGAAAAGTCGCGCGTTTTCTTGCAGCGCGACAATTTAACGCCCTTGCGCAAGCGTTATAAAACAATAACGGAAAACACGATTAATCAATAGTTTTTAGCATCCCTACTACTATCTCCCGCTCACCAACTTTCAACCAGAGCAACTTCACCTCTCTCCTCACCCCAGACAAAGACCCGCCTGACACAAAGGCTGGATCCCCCTTGATGTGTCATTTCTGGACATCGTCTATTCAAATCCTTTCTAACCTCAATTCGACTAAAGGCGGCAAGGCTAGAAGTAGTCCTACTGCCCAGTAGGTTGCGCAAGAGCTTCCTGTTAACAGGGCTGGCTTAAGGAGCAGGATTTTTCGCACCGTAGTCAGTAGAATAGAATATAATAGGTTTTATTTCCGTTTGACTGGTAGTATCGGAATATACTCATACACAAAACGCAGTAGAGTATAAAACAAACAAAACAATTTGGAACAGTGCATAACTAATCAAATGGAAACATTTAAAAGGCATAGCTAGGATATTCTTCTATGGAGTAAACAGTGTTTTCTTATTTTTCTTACATGTGTCCCACGTTGCTTTTATATACAGGGTGGGCCATAAGAGTGTTGGCGATTTAAATCTGTAATATCTCTGAAACGCGGGGCGCACGTTAGGGGGATAAGCTGTTAGCCGCGCCGTTGCCTGGCAATTTAGTCGCCATGGAGCGTAGCGTGCATTCTGTGTGCGAGCGTATTATGAAAACTATAAATCGGTTATTAGTGCACGACGTTTGTATCGACATGAACAGGCTTTACGCGATTTAAGCGAAGTCCCAAGCGTCGATGTGATACGGAGATGGATCCGAATGTTCGAGACAACCGGATCGACAGTAGCAATAACAGCTCGTGGTCGTCCAGTTTCTGCAAGATCAGCCGACAATGTAGAGCGTGTTCCTGTTTCAGTTGAGCGAAATCCGCAACAGTCAACACGTAAGAGATGTCAGGCTTTGGACATCAAAAAAACGAGATTGCGGCGCATTTTGAAGCGTGATTTGCATTTGAAGGCTTATAAGATTCAACTAGTCCAAGAATTGGAACCAGACGATGCCAGTAACCGACTTGACTTTGTCAATTTGATGCTCGACCGATTCAACAGTTTTAACAACGTGACGTTTAGTGATGAGGCCAATTTTCACCTTAACAAACAAAATTGTCGGTTCTGGTCCGAATTAAACCCGACGCTTAACGAACGTCCACTTCACAGCCTGAAAACTAGTCGTGTGGGCTAGAATTACTCGATCGTGTTATTGGACCGTACTTTTTTGAGGACGAAAGAGGGCAAGCGATGAAAGTTAAAGTTAACAATTATTGTCATATGATAACAGAATTTTGGGTGCCAGCTTTGCAAGAACTCGAGGAAATACCTCTAGAATGTGGTTTCAACAAGATGGGGCCACATTTCATACAACAAGGGTATCTATAGAGCCTTCCGGGAAAAGGGGGGATATTGAATGGCCACCACTTAGCTACGATCTTTCTCCCTTTATTTCCTATGGGGCTACCTCAAATCGGTGGTCTACGAGAATAGTCCACCTATTTAGAGCAGCTGAAGAGGAATATTGTTCAGAAAGTAACAAACACCGAGAACAACTTTTCAACGAGTTTTCAAAATCTGCAGCTTCAGTTTCAAGAGTGCCAAGCAGCCGCAGGAACTCATTTGAACAACATTATTTCTTTTATATTGCGTAGTTATTTTTAATTGAATATTGAAGTTGCCAACACCTTTATGCCCACTCTGTACATAGGCTTGCTGAAGGATAAGCATTTTCTCATTTTATTTACGTCCTCAAAGCTTTTATCATGGAGAATTTTGTACAGCAGCAGCGATACACTGTTTTCAATAAAATGCACACTTTATTGCTGTCATATATGTCAGTTTAGATATTGTGTCCATGCCTAGAATATGGCGCAAATCTTTATTTTTCATTGGTGCATTTTATGACCATGGCCCCTGGCTTAGTGCAAATGAAGAAATAGGCGTGTGTAGCTAAACTAAATGATTTCTGACGTATTTTTTGATCTAGTATGAGAGACATTTCATGAGGTATCGAGCATGAGATCCATTACTTCAAAGACGCCTTTTCATCGGTTGAATTTGTGGCTTAGTAAAATCGGACTTGAGTCTAGCAACACTATTCCTTTTCCACCACTACCTCTGACGTACGGTACGACCATGGCGGTACCCATTTCTCAGCAGAGCATCGTGTAATTTGAACGGCGCAAGTCGTCTTTTCTCGCCTTTTACCTATTCATGAATTTCCCAGCAACATCTCCGTGGCGCCTGAAACGAGCGCGCTTCGCATTCCTGAGAAAACGCTCGACATCCCGAGGGTTCGACACGCGATGTTGCCGGCTCGTGCCTTCCGGCAAAATGCTAATTCGCACAGCTCCGCGTTCACTCGAACGTTGCTCGTTGTTAGGCTAAGGCGGACTGTTTTCTCATAGGGTTTATTCAGTACAGTCTCGATTGAACAACGAAAAGGAATATCCTTGAGACGACACAAATCCGTACACAACTAATAACTGGGCCTTACTCCATAAAAATACTAGATTAGTAAATTGGAAATTTGTAATATGGTCAAATGATGTTCTGTTCCACATTATGACTTGTAAAAAACGTCACTCTGAAATTATATGTGCAGCAACACAGATCTGCAGCGCTGTCAAAAGATGTCTCAATGCTTCAATGCTCAGATTTAGCAACAAGTAACAAAAACACATGCAAGCTTATAGAAAAATCTAGAAAAACTAAACCTGCACTGCTTTCCAGTGGTGTTTGGTTTGAGAGTGATATGTTCTCCAATTGCTCTAGAATACAAGTACAGGCCCAATCATTTAGTTTCGACCCATTTGATCGGGATGGAAATTGAAGGAGCACCTAGGCGGTCAACGATTCGAGACGGAGGAAGAGTTGCAAGCTTGCTTCTTTCAAGATAGTTGGCGGACGTCTAAAAAAATGCATAGAAAAATGGCAAATATGTACAAAAGCAGCTTCCCAATGATAACTTCATCTTGTCAAATAAAAAAATCCTTGTGCCTGAGAAAAGTGTGGGAACCCTCGTATCAGATTATTAATAATCCTTTACAGAGCAAGCTACGTCTTTGGAGTTTCGCGATTTACATAAAGGTTAAGTTTACTGTCACGAAACTGTCATAAGACCCCATTTGTAATGTGGTATGGCTTGAAATGTTTTGCGTCGAAATTTTTCATATAATCAGTAAGAACTAAATGACCACATTGAAGGAGCTAAGGTCCGCGTCACATGTAATTTTCGACTTGGATGGACTAATTTTGGATACAGAAAAACTCTACACTATAGTTGCCAATGCTATACTTGGACAATATGGTAAATCCTTTAATTTGGAAACAAAGCTGAAGGTTATGGGCTCTACTGGTCTAGACATGGCAAAGCAAGTAGTGGAGTTGCTGGAGGTACCGTTGTCTCCAGAGGAATATTACGAGCAGGTGAAGAAAGAATATCAGACGGTGATGCCGGAAGCACAGCTACTCCCAGGTATTGTGGACAAATCGTCATCTTCCAGAGAGCTCGTTCAAAGTTTGAAGTTTCTTTTGCGCGTTCTTCCTGTGGACCATTATATCTTCTATTATCGGTTGAATCAGTTAGGATGTAACGCAATCAACTTCCAGGTGCTGCTAAGTTGATAGAACACCTGCATTCGAACAATATCCCAATTGCGATAGCCACGTCGTCGTCACAAGTGACTTACGATTTAAAAACACAAAAGCACAAAGAACTTCTATCAAAATTCCATCACGTCGTTTGTGGCGGATCAGATGCTGAAGTCAAGAATGGAAAACCGGCACCAGACATATTTTTAGGTAAAAAACTTCAGGTTATCACCTCTAAATTACTTAAATAAACTTGTAAAATGCGCTGTACTTGTACTGAGTGACAGAAAAGGTAAGCACCTACGTATGTTTAGTAGATCTCAAGAATTTTTTACATATAGATTGATCTTGACTTTAAAAAGCTATACGAAGTACACAGAAAAATTTTGATTACAAAAACCTTATAGTACTAAAATGATACTTTCATCCAGTCCGATCACAGACTGCCAACAATGAACAGCTATTTCATGCTTTTCGGTGGCTCATCAGCATGGTCTAGAGTTGATTGAAAGCATAGCAACTATCTTCTACCTATTTTTCGTCAATTGCTACATAAAATACTGACTGAACTTTATACTTTATACAGGTCGATTTCTGGAATTCAATATGCAAACCACCGTTCCGACCTAGGAAAATTTGTGCCTATTGGTAACATGTAAGTTACTAATCATTTCAGCAGAACTACAGGCAGTTCTACACAACATCTCCCACATGAGATACTTTTATGGAAGTTCTGGTAGTTAACAAGAAAATGACAAAAAGAATTAGCTGCAACAGATCCAGATTTTTCTTGCATCTCGCTGACTGTATAACGGATATAAGAACAACAGAAATACAAGATACTGTTCCTTTGTTTTCAGTTTGTGCATCAAGGTTTTCAGAAAAGCCCAAACCAGAAGACTGCTTAGTATTAGAAGATGCTCCGAATGGTGTAGAAGCGGCTTTAGCAGCTGGTATGCAGACAATAATGGTTCCAAGTGTCGAGGTGCCAAAAGACATCAAAGACAAGGCACATGTAGTCGTAGCATCTTTAGAACAAGCTCCTTTAGAGTTATTTGGACTACCGGCTATTGAGAAATGTAGATGTAAAGATAGTTGATCCTGTCTCTCTAAATATGAGAAGAAATTTCCATAAACAGGAGCAGATAAGTTATTGTTGAATGGACAATTAAGTGCAAGATATTCATCAGAGTCTCTTAATAAAACTCTATGATACTTACTTCAGCTAACTGCCTTCTAGGTTGAAACAAAAGCGTGGACGTTGGGATCAAGTTACACTAGATGATAAACAATTAGGTATATAGCATGCACTCTATGTTTCTCAGGCATCTAAATATTTTAGAGTTGAAGATACGCTGATGGACGTGAAAGATCATATTCAGGATTTGAAAAAAGTGCATCTCTCTACTTATTTTTTTCACAGGTCAAATTAGTGAATTGGAATTCGGGTTATAGATCAATGCATATATACTATATTTTAATGTAAAAGTGGCAGTCAAAAATTTCAAGATGGTGGCTGGGCTTCATTTTGAAGCAGCACTTTATAGCTCTAGAATATAAAATTACCACCCTTGAGCATGCTGAACTGGTAGGCTATTAAAACTGAGAATTTACCCTTGAGTCACTTATAATTGAATAACCACTCATCAAGAAGCTTTAGAGCAAAATTGATATAACGTTCTGTGATGTTTTGGTGACAACAGTTCAATGTTCATAAACGCTCAGATTGACAGCCTGCCAGTTCGCCATTTTGAAAGATAGTAATTTTATATTATAGTTACAAAGTACACAAAAGTCTGATGTATAAGACTGGCGATGTCACGTTCTGTGTTCCAAGAAGGATTGTATAGTTATTGAATAAATCCTGAGCTAAAGTGAACTCGCAGCGTAAAGTTATAACTATTAACGTCTCACAGACCGAACACATTTCAATACAGAACAGGCAACACACGTCATACCATTCCATTTAAGAAAATGACGCCCAACTGCCATATTGAAAATTTCAGCTTTTAATTTTACGTTAAAATAGATTACCCATTTGTTATCCGGAATTTCATCTTTCTAACTAGACACATTTAAAACATAAGTAAGCTTGTTGGAAAGCAGTCAATATAATTTTTTAAGCTATTGGTAGAGCTTTCAATTTGGCTAAATGGGGATAATGATACTTGATGGAGCTTTAAGTAATTCATGAAATGCGTTAGAGTTTTCTTGTCATTCAAGGGATCTGTGTAGATCTTTTAATGCGAGTGCTCTAAAGACAATGTAATTACTAATCAACAAGTTAATAAACAAATAAACTAATAGCGTGACTTGATCTTTCTGATATTTGCATCAATCACAGACAATGAATGTAAATGCTGATTCAATATACCAACTAGGTTGTAAAATCTAGGGCTATAGGTTAATATGATTAGAAACACGGAAAGCGTTCTTGAAAGTTCACATTTTATGAGGCTTCATGAACAATGGGTAGTGATTTTACCTCGCTTTCGATAAGAACGAATACATCCTTCCAAACAAATTCAGAATATTATTCCAGCGACATATAAAAAAATGTTTGAGATCTGGACCGCTGTTATTGTCGACGGATGTCGTTTATCCTTTCTCTAGGCAGCTCAAACTATGTATAGAAATGTGGTTGCGTACAAAACTGATGACCAAAAAGTTGCAAAAATAGAGAAACCTAACAAGCTAAGCTCTTTTCTGAAGTTTAACGGGTGCGACCTTCGCCGAAGGCATGTTGGAAGATTGGAATTCTTTAGCAAAAGTGTTAGAAGCTTGAACATATAGCAAATCGGAAGTCTGTCTCGTGAAGCCTCGCGTTGATTAGCAACTAAAAATTCCTGTAAATTTTGATTCTAAACTCCAATTAAACAACTGTTTATGCGCAAATAACAGTAAGGTCTTCTTCTTTGGTTCTGCTCATCGGGATAATATTTAGAGATGCGCTATTGGAATATATTTTGGCTATACAGAACGGCATCAGGGCGCGGAGCCAAGCATACAGCATACACTTGATGTACGAAAAAGCAATACTTACAGAAAAACCCAGCTAAGTTATGCTGCTCACTTTAACAGATCTGTATTAGTGATGTAACGAATATCAATTTTTAGACAATCGCGAATTCGAATATCTAAGAAAAACATTCGCGAATGTGCATGCGAGTGCGAATATATTTCGCCGATGTCCGAGAATGCGCATATGAATATAAATACCTACTGCTTATATTCGCAAATGCGCATGCGAGTGCAAATATCTACCGATACTCGTGAATGTGAATATCTGTCGCCGATATCCTCCAATTACCATGAAAATGCAAATATCTCCGTCGATATTCGCGGATGTAAATGAGAATGTGAATATATCTCGCAGATTTTCGATAATGAGTATGAGAATACAAATATCCACCTCCGATATTCGCGGATGTGCGAATAACTGTCGCCGATATTCGTGAATGCGAATGCGAATATGTTTAACCGATTTTCGAGAATTCGCATGAGAACGCGAATATCTCCATCGATATTCGCGGATGTGCGAATAACTGTCGCCGATATTCGTATATGAGCATGACATTGCGAATATTTCCGCCGATATTCGCGGATATGCATGTTGATGCGAATATCTATCGCCGATATACGCAAACGCGCATGCGAATGCAAATATCTACCGCCGATATTCGCGAGTGAGAATAACCATCGCCGATATACACAACTGGGCTTGAGAATTTTAATATATCCGCCGATATTCGCGGATATGCATGTTGATGCGAATCTCTATCGCCGATATTCGCGAATGCGCATGCGAATGCAAAAATCCACCGTCGATATTCGCGAATACGCTTGTGAACTCAGTTTTTTCTCTCTATACCGAACATCAAAACATACTTGAGCGGGGAAAACTGTGAAATTTTCATCTTTGAAGTTCAATATTCCTTTAGTTCAGCTTGATTATTGAATTGCTTTAAAAGAACTGAGAAAAAAGCATCTAGTTTTTTAAAAAATACTTCTTTTCCACAAAACATTTAAGAAAGAATTCATGTTTCTATTTGAATTCTTCGTTTGTAAAGCTTTTATGAATAGAGTTAAAAAGATATATTTTGTTTGTTTGAAGTTACTCCATAAATAATTATAGTCGCATTCGTCTTACACACAATCTCACCTCAGTTTACACAGTTTATTGCACGATCTTTTCCTTAGAATTTACCTAATAAACCTCAGCTGGTTGAGATTTATCTGCTGTTGCAGGATTTGGATCAAGTTTATTTTGTTTACCTGAAAAACCCGACTTATTTAGACTTTTAAACTTAGCTCGCTCATTTTTGCGGCGATCCATATCAACATATTGCAAAAATGCTTATCCTTGAATGTAGCTGCGTGATTATTTAAATAAATACCATTGTTTAGGTTACGTTCTGATCAAATTTACCTCAGCTGGCCTCTTTGGACTCTGAAGTGAGCCAGACATTCAGTGACCTAACAGCCTCACCTCCGCTTCACTAGAAAAACAAACGAAATTTATGTTTTCTAGTGAGAAATATCTAATCCCTCATTGTTTGTCTATTACAAGATCCTTTGCTAGCAGAAAAATTAAACTGACATTTCTTGTCCTATTAAGGCCCGTATCGTCAGTCGTCCCTACAGTTATAGGGCGCCTTTATGGCCTCCTTGATTGTCATAGTTTTCTACTTCTCCGTGTCAGAACTCTATTTTGAGGTTATGTCACAAACATCTATTTGCATCAAATTGTGCTTGCTTTTGAGTTGTATCATGTTTTATCAGCCTAAAATTTCCTACAATTTAGAAAGAAAACATATCTTCACAATAGGAGAGAGCTGACGCTGACACGGGACAAGTTCAATCAAGAAATTTTTGAAGGAGAGAAAGGAGTATGACAATCAAGGAGGCCATAAACGCGACCTACAATTGTAGGGACGACTGACGATACGGGACTAAAACACGAGTAGTATCCTCTTTATCTGATATTCGTATTCGCAAAATATACGTAATTTCGGCCTCACCCTGTGATTAGAGACGTTATATCATGTCTAGAGATTCTATATTAACGATTCTGTCTATTTCTATGCCCCACCTTGCCTCAGTCTCACAGAAATGTTGAGGTCTCCTTGTATAAATCCATATGATTATCTAAGTCATGCAAGTACGCCATAGTGTAAAAATTCGTGGGAAGACAAAACCTCACCATATACTCTTAAATCTCGCATAAAATAACCCTCTAGACAATGGCAGCCGCCTTGTAACTATTGGCACCATTTACATGTTTCACACCAATTTACCCGTCAACTTATCCACATTTATACTCCGTAAATTACTTCGTTACATGCCATGTAGAAAAAGTGTTGTGATACGAACATACATCTTCTTATACTCGGATACTCTTATGCACGTAGTCCCGAGATAAGGAGGGATTTTCTAAATAAATAAAGATGAGCGTTAAGCCTGTAATTACTAGCTAGCACGAATAACAGAGGGGATATGTCAGGGTATATGGGTCTTCTCTTGAGATTAGACGCGTGTTTATTGCGTTATTAGTAAAATTATAAATTGCCCTGCGATTGCTGCTAAGCATCAACACCTGTATACAATGTCAGGGTCGTAGCGCTCTATGCAACTCAAAATTTTACAAGTGCACGTTCCTCTCAACTTTTTTTGACAGCGGAAGGCTCTTACAGCTCTCAAGCAAGAAGTATGAGATTCTCCAGAAATGCCTCATACTCACTAAAGCCCCTAAGGCGTTCGCTACACGCCTTCGAAGCAACTGATGGTATAATATTCCATTTCGTGCAATGACATCAAAAAGACGTAGACTTTGTCAAAACCATTAGTGCACTATTTGGGGATTTGACGAAAACAATTTCTTCAGATTGCAGCAGTAAACGTGTTCGTACACGGTAGCTTCATTTCTCTGGAGTTTCGGCGTAAAACTGTTTGTCAACAATGTTAATAGCTGATTATGAAACCTCTTGATACTTACTTACGCACCATGTATACTGCACTATATAATAATACAAATATCAAATTAGCAAGCATACTGCTCGTGTATATAGATGATATCGTGCCCACCTCGTAAGTGCATATCGCGTCACCTCGCCGTCTGCTACCTGTGTTTATAAGTCCCTCGGATTCAATACCAAAGATGCAATATTTACAACCCTATGGTGCACGGCAAGTGCGACCGATAGGCGTTTTGAAGACAAATGCGATTACAATAGCTCTTCGCCAGTTTTCGTAGTAAGTAGAAGCGTGATAGCGATAAATTTCATCTCTAAATACAAAGTTAACTTTTAATGAAACATTTAATGGTATGAAAAACTCAACCACATATTAGTTTTCTTCCAAACCGTTCTGAAACGAGCACGCGCTTGCGTATTTAGGAAAAAATATTCCATTGATATAAGATAATTCTGTAATTTATTCCAAACAGTTTTGAGACCGTTCTGAAACGTTTTGATATGGTGATCTCGGGGGCATGCGTATTATACGTCCATATCAAATACTTAT